GGAGAGAAGGGTGTTCACAATGCTTCACCCCACATCTTCAGAGTGGGCTTACCTCCTAATTGAGCAGGAGGTGGCTGTGATCCGTAGTTGAATAGTGTAGCTTGTTCTGGTTCTTGGCTACCTTTGGCACACTTGAAGGGAGGGAAGGGAACTCAGGCAGTGGGACCAAATTCATTACCTCTGGGGGCTTAATCGAGACTTTTCAGGGCCATTCATTCATTTTTTAATGTTTGTACCCTTGTCTTCCTCCCCAAGAGGACCCAAGTCAACTTGCAATATTAAAACAAAGTAACCACTTAAAAATTAAGTAGGTTATGACAATACTGAAAAGCAAATAACCAGTATGGTTGAAAACATTATTAAAGCACATTGAAAAATGAACAAGACACAACAGCCCTGTTTTTAAAGCCCCCTCATAGGCAGTCAATTAATGAAAAAGAAAAAAGACAGCAACACTGTCTTCCTCATGACACCATTACTGAGTGGTTTCTCCCCTCAGGATGGATTCCCTACCCCTCATTTTAAAAGATTGAAATGCTTAAAAAGTTACCAGCAATTGTAAAAGTAAAATTGATTACTGGCAATTTTAAAAGACTAACATTACTGGCATTAATCACCACCACCACCACCATCATATGCTGTCAAGTTAATTCTGACTTACAGTAGCCTTTTTCCAGGATTTTCCAGGAAGAGAATACTCAGAAGTGGTTTGACATTCTCTTCTTTTGGGGGTGCCTTGGGGCTGTGCAGCTTGGCCAAGGCTACACAGGCGGGTTTTACTTAAAAGAGGCACAGTGGGGAATTGAACTCCCAACCTTTTGTTTCACATCCATATACATAAATTACTGAGCTATCAGAGCTTTAAACCTCAAATGTGCTGGCATTTAAAGCCTAACTCTTATGCCTTTGGCCCTGGCCCCACTGGAATGCAGCATTCTCACCATCACCGCCATTCTCTGAAATTACATTTCAAAAGTTCCCCCATATTTGGCAGTGATTTATAAACAAACTCTGCCTTTGGCCCTATACATACTGCCATCTGTGAATGAAAGACTTGTAGCATGTAGCAGAAAAATGCTCTAGATACACAATATTGCATGTTAGTTCCTGGCCCCTCTGTTTCAAAGAATCTCAAATAACAATGTGGAAGAGATTTCCCAAGTCTATCTATCTAACTTATATGCCGCCCACACTACCCAAAGGTCTCTGGGCGGCTTACAGCATTAAATACAATAAAAATATGTACAATTAAAATACAATTAAAATATATATAAAATTGCCATCAGACCTACAAGATTAAAATCTTTGGTGGATCTGGGAATCAGTTTTCTGTCCCTTGAAACCTCTAGGGATGATACAGACTACCAAAAATCCTTTAAAACATTTTTGAAAAGTTAAATCTGGAATGTGATTTATAAACAAACTCTGCCTTTGGCCCTATACATACTACCATCGGTGAATGAAAGACTTGTAGCATGTAGCAGAAAAATGCTCTAGATACACAATATTGCATGTTAGTTCCTGGCCCCTCTGTTTCAAAGAATCTCAAATAACAATGTGGAAGAGATTTCCCAAGTCTGAGAACTTTAAGAGGGCTAGTGGACCACTTAAAATAAACAGGGAGGACCCATGAGTTACTAGCAGAGCATTTTTGTGTTTGTGTGTGTGCGCGCGCACAGTGGATTCTAGATTTAAAATCTTTACAAGATTAAAATATTTGGTGGATCTGGGAATCAGTTTTCTGTCCCTTGAAACTTCTTGGGATGATACAGACTACCAAAAATCCTTAAAACTTTTGAAAAGTTAAATCTGGAATGGCTATAAATCCACTTCCAGTTTTGAAAAATAGGTTTTGGGGGGAATTAAGTGGTAAAAGCAGGCCTTCGTACACTTCAAAGGTGAACCACCATACCTGGAGATTTTTGAGAGCAGCAACTCACCCTTTTTTGCCAGAAAAAGAAGGGGCTAAGGAGGGCTGAGAGCTCACAGAAACAGCATTCAAGGCCTATATGTGGCCCCAGGGTATCATTTTGCCCACGGCAGCTAAAAGATCACATAAGTAAGGCTAAGAAAATCCACAACTGAAAATGTCTCAGGGAAGTCTCACCACTCACAATGGACAGAACTATACAGTAGGCCTGGGAATACATGGCCCTCCCAGATCTTTTTTTAAATGACCTTTTTATACTATAGCTCCCAGAATTCCCTAGACAGCATGAAGATTGTAGTCCAAAACATCACATTTTTCAGGCTCTTGGCCCTCCAGATAGTGTTGGACAGCATCTCCTCATCATCCCTAGCAAGCACATCTAATAGGGAGACATGCTGAGATTTGTAGTCCATCAAAATCTGGAGAGCTGAACTGTCCTCATTTCTGCTTATATGGACTAATAGTCTAAGTCATTATAAGGCAGCTTCAGATGAAGTGTGTTTTCTTTCTTTTTGATTGGATCGCATGCCTGCAGGGTAAGGATTGAAACCTGGAAGCTCTAGATCTGTTTTGGTAAGCCGCTCGCGATACTGACGAGCAACAAAGGCACTTGTGGCACCTTAAAAGACTTGAGAAATAGATGGTGGTATAATCATATGTGGTTGAGAGTCCACTTCAACAGATACACCAACAGTGATTCAAGGTTGCCAGATGTATACGGTGCATCTACTGCAACGAATGGGGTGGAGACTCCCCCAGGTGTACGAGATGTTAGTTGGAAGAGTACAGACAAAGAGAAGAGTACAGACTTTAAAATAGATATTCATAGGTAATGTTAAACCTTAGATTGCTGTAGTTATTGACAAAGGAATGCTAGTAATGACTGAAACGTGATATTGGTAAACTAATTACCAATGAGTTAAGTATCTGTCTGTTGAGCCAGAAGTTGGCCATTCGATTCGCCACTGTGCGAATCCAGGGAGAAGAGCCAGACCGTGTGGCTTTGGGCAAGCTGCACAGTCCCAGGGCACCCCCAGTAGAAGGGAATCGTAAATCACTGCTGAGTATTTTCTACCCAGGAAAACCCTGAAAGGAGTCGCCCTAAGTCAGAATTGACTTGACGGCGCATCATTATCATCATCATCATCATCATCATCATCATCATCATCAAATTGTCAGTCTAAGGTACCATAAGATGCCTTGTTGTTCTCAAAAGGGGGAGGGGGGAGACGCCAAAGCTGCTCCTCGTGATACTGAAAGGGCACTTCTAGACAGAAAGCTCTTCCTGCTAGCAATGAGAAAACACAGTAAAACTGGGTGAATGAGGTGGAGTAATGGCATGATAAAAGCCTCATCTGGACCCATTCAAAGGCACTAGTTATAGCGATCTTGTGCCTCCACTCCCCCTCAGGCTCTGTTCCTGCTTACGTTCCACCTGGGGTGGCATAGAACTGCTGGTGTTTCAGTGCGCTTGCAGTTTCCACCTGCCTGATCATGGATAGATCAGGGATTTTTTTTGTCCTCACTGATTGTTTTAATTTGTACTCATTCATAAGAGGACAGCACAATATGTAGCCAAAGTAATTATTGTAACCTTCTACCTCTGCTCTGGCTTCTTGAGCCATCCAGGTTCTTGTGCATTCTTGAATGACACTTATTTTTGCCTATAATCACAAGGTTTATTTTTGCCTGTAACCTCAGATCTTATCAACAAGAAGAGAAGAGCAGGCAGCAGAACAGACTTTTAAATATAGGTTTTATTGCAGAGCTTTTATGCAGGAGATGTCTGACATTCAGGCAGTGAGGCAATCACCACCAGCAGCACCCCACCAAAAAACAAACAACTTTTACCAATACATTGCTCTAATTAGATTTTCTTTTCCCCAGTGGGAACTATTTTATAAGAAATTGATGCTCATGGTCCTTCTTTCAAATGTATATGTGTAGTGCTGGGGCCTTTCATTTCAATGTTTAGAAAGGGCAAAAGAGTGTGGAGAGACATTCCTTTCCTGCTTTGGTGGCTTATGATTCACGGCATGCATTAGACAGAGGTTGACACACAACACCAAACCATTGTTGGTAACAAACACTCAGGCAACTTTTGAGCCCGAAGATCTGGTACAACAAATGTGTGGGCAGATGTCCATCTGTGTGGATGGCTAGTTATCTACGTCCTAGTCTCTGCACATCAGCCAAGTATTTGTTGGCAAATTAAAGTCAAATCTCAGCCATATGAACTGGGTGCAGTCCAGCTACCTGTGCCTTAATTGTCAAGGTAACATATCTGAACTATGGCAACCTTGGGATCATATTTGTCTCCCTACCTGTATCCAGTGGTCATTCCACTCCAGAATCTCTATCCTGAACTAGGACTGTTGTAGGGTGAGGGAGAAAAGGGAGGATAGGGGAAGTGATGTATGCCTTTGTGTGTTGGAGAGTGTGCAAATGTGGGAGATGGAGAGACTGTGTTGTATGTGTGACTATGTTTAGATGAGAGATAACTCCTCTCCCATCTTTAGTCCAGTCCCATTGCTCCACTTGGACAGCCTAACTGGTCCCGTGTCGATCACTTTCCTACTTTCCCCCCAGCCCTTTGTGAAACAAAAAACAGCCAACTAAGTTGGCCTGTCCTAAGGGGAGATCTCCATGATTTGCCTACAAAACATACAATTTGACTGTGAAACATCTATAGTTTAGTCTTCAGCAGCAGCCGTTAATTGGATCTCAGGCAATAGGGTTGGGAAGGACACCTGCTTGAAACTTACCAACCCGAGTAAGAAGCAGCAGTCTAGATATACCAGGGGCCTGATTCAGTTGAAACATGGCTTCCTATTTCACTAAGGGGCCAATGACTTGTGAGAGACCACAAAAAGTAAACATGCTCAACAGTTTGGGATAGTCAAACAAACTGATCAGGAAGGTGAACAGACTTGCCAAGCTTCCCAGTGGTGACTTTTCAAGGAAAGCAAATTAGGGAAATGAGGTGTGCTTTAGTCTGACCTTCTTTATCCTTGCATATCCCAATCCGGGACTGTCTTATTTGCCTCTCCTTCTTTCCTGCCCTTTGTACAGCTGCCGAACCAGTAACAGAAAAAGCCTGATCCTGACAAGTACCTCGCCGACGCTGCCACGGCCTCACTCTCCACTCCCAGGTCATATTGGTGAGTTAAGCCCTTGGCCGCCTGCCCCATCATCTTGCTTTCAAGAATGCCAGTCTCCTCCATCACTGGATAAAGATATGGTCCACAAAACTAACCAATCAGCCTGGGCGCTGTCTTCTAAACCCTGCCCAAACCATGGCCCATTCTTCAAACCAGGGCTAGTTCTCTCACAGACTGGCTCTGAGAAAGCACATCTTGGATCCCTGTAGTTACTTGACTGTCATTTCTCAGGAAACCTTGGTCCTTACCAGGGACTTATTGAAGTAATTCTTTCACTCTTGACATACCCCATTCTTCTCAAATGTGAAGTTCCTGGGCAACATTATTTAAATATATATGGTTGTTTCATGGCTAGTCTTATGCATATAACAATTTGCTGCAATGTGGCAGGGTGTCCACAAAAGCCCATGCAGAAATCATATCCCACTACATGTCCTCCCACCCAGAATCCATCCCAATGGGTTTATGTGTGCTTAGCAGCAAACAAAAATTGACTCTAAAAGAGGCCTGTTGGATTGATTCACAACCAATTTTTGACTCATGAGATTGATCCATTTTCCTGTCCTTCATTACATCCAAGCTCTAATTTTCCCCACAGTCTTCTTATCCCCTGACCCCATCTCTCTGTGTATTCAGGCCATCTGTCTTTTACTCCATGCATATATTTAGGAGTGTGACTGTTGAGTCACCCTTCTCATCTGTCCTTCTTACTAACTATCCACACTTGTTTTCTGTCCATCTATCCAACTGTTCATCTTTTCCTCTGATTAACAGTCTAGTAGGCCGTTCATGCTTGATCATCCATTGGTCCATCTGCTGGGTTGGTTTATTAGATTCGTTGTCTTCTGCTGTCTATTTGTTTATCAATTCACCTTTGTATTTCCAGGCCTCCTTCCATCTTTTGTTTTCTTGTTTAATATAGTCTTCTGCTGTCTATTTGTTTATCAATTCGCCTTTCTATTTCCAGGTCTCCTTCCATCTTCTGTGTCTCTCCTCTCCTCTTACAAGCCTACTGGAGTTTCTGCGACAATGTTTATCAATACGTCAGCCCCTCAGTAAGATATGCTGGCTCCCCAAGATAGGGTCAAGTGTTTTACATAGTTATGGTGTCTGAGCAAGCTCATTAAGCAACGCCTTGATGTCTTTTGTGTGTTCTTCTCCCACCATGTCCACAGGTAGCAGCCCTCTTGACAGCCCTCGGAACTTCTCCCCTAACACACCAGCCCACTTCTCCTTCGCTTCTTCACGCAGGTAAGAGCACTCTTTGGGACCCAGGTGTAAAAACTGGTTTTGCAGAAGCTCCATGGCACATTTTCACTCCTTGACTGACCTGGTGTTGAGGCCATCTGCAAAGGCTGCAGTCCCAAATAACCAGTAGACACTAATGCCAGAGTGAAAGTGGGGGAGTAGTACCTAGCTATCATCCTAGCCTTAAGCATAGAGCATTATGTAATAAACCTTTTTTTTTCAAAAAAAAAGAGGGAACTCGAAGAAGACAAAGATATCCTAAGTTTTGTATTAGGAAGAAACAAATAGATTCCATTGATTTATTTGCACAATTAAGACAATAAAGCTATCGGGTCAAGCAACTTAAAATGGAACATATCACTAGTTATTGTCCTCTTAACTTACACCACAAATTCAGAGTTGTGTTCAATCTTAGCAGGTCAAGGGTCTCCAAGTTATTCTATGAAGAAATGCCACAAGTGTGAAATCTAGAATTGTATTATCGGCATTGGCTGTAATGCACTATGAAATGTCACCTGCCTGCAGTTTTTTCCTCTCCCTTTATTCTTCTCTTTTCACTATGGGTACCCTATTCTTAAAGGCCTCCTAAACAGGCAGTGGTCAAAGGGAAGTATTTGGGGCTTGGCCCAGTTAAAGTACAAGTCAGGTTGTCATTGGTGGCACAGCCAGCAGTCCTACATATTCATCTTTTCACCCTGGCCCTCTCCACATGAGGCAGCAGCATCTTTTCAAGCCTGTGGGCATGACCTTTCTCAGACGCAGGTCAAGAGTCCCCTGGATTGATAATACATGGAGCAAACATCCACGCAATGTGTAACAGCTTGGTTGATTTGCCTTCTTCCCATATCTGTCTCCACAAGTAGGGTCATCTGAGCAGAGGCCATGAGTCTTCAGAAGGAAAGGAGCTCATCTGGGGTAAAGATCAGTTGTGCTGTGCCCAAAGCCCAAAGCAGGACAACAGTCCACTCATAACTGGGACTCCCACTCTCTTCTTGCTTCAGTTCTCCTTTTCCACCTCTAAGCTCCCCACCTTACCCCAGGACAGCCCTGTGTCTCATATACTGTAGGCTTGGGAAGAGAACTGTGGGCTCTTTGCTCTCCCTGTGGCGTATGATCCACCAGGCCATGCTGGCTGGCTGCAACATAGAGAGAATGTTTGCAGCAAGGGAAGAATCTACAGCTGCTGCTCCCCACACCCCATCTGCTCTCTGCTCTTTTTATAGTCATGCACATACCACTTCTCCCTCCCACCTCCACCCCACAAAAGCGAAGGAACAGATTGTTAAGTTCTATCTTGCTGTCAACAAAGTGTTGAGTGAATCCACTCTGGGCTGTTTACATCTCTTCAACATTAGACCAAAAAGCATGAGTGGTTTTATAACAAGAGCTTGATTAGAAATTACCTTATGCTGTAGAATTTTCAAAAGACTCTCCTGTTAGACATGTGTAATCATAAAAAGGGTATTCTTACATGGGATGAATTGGAACAAACCCATTCAATACAATCTGTGATTGACTAGGTTTGCCTAATTAATGGTATTAAAAAGTTGATGGTATAACTGTAGCCACATGTAATGTTCTCTCATAAGGGTTACATCATCCATTACAATTTTCTACATAGAGATTAATCTGTGGCTGACTGATTCCTGTTCTTTCAGCAAGAAACCCAAAAATAAAGGCTGCATTGAGGTAATATTCATATTAGAGTAACAAGTTTATTAGGCCCATTCAGAAAGATTATGAAACACTGTGCCCACGTTTGGGTTCCCCAAAATTCTTCATAGACCAAGAAATAGGTGAGACAGTCAAGATGTATGTACTTTGCATTCCCAGTGCATCTGCTCTCTCCTGCATGATGATTGCTGGTTGTAGTGGTGATTCATAACAAATGGAATAACCATCAGAGTTGAGTGACAAAGTGTCTGCAGCCAGTAAACAGACAGAAGAATCCAGATATTGCAGGTGAAGGGTCAACGACCAGTTTTGTGAGAGAATTTCAAAAGATAGTCATTCAGGAAGTGGAATCAAAGATAAGGCAGCTTTCCAAAGAGACTGGATGTAGGTTGCAGGGACCAAGTACATATAACATGAGAGAGTTGGAAAGCTAAGACCAAAGAAAAGACCCAAGACTGACCTGAAAGTATAATAGATAGTCCAAAGGATGATAAACCAATGCCATTTGAAGACGGGGCTAAGATTGTATCTGGTGAGGAATGGGAGTCAGGTCCAGGAGGCCTGAGGCTGCATGCAGTTCCCAAAGCCATTTTTGTGAGCCCATGGTTCCAGATGGTCTCATGGGTCCATTATGTCCAGCTCTGGAAAGTTGCTTGTGCCCATTGTGCCTTGCTTCAATGTGAGACACATAAGTATTCAAACAAAAAAAGAAAAGAAAAAGGCTGTGTGGCCCTTGTATGTAACCTGAAGACAAGATGGGGGTGGGGCAGGGGGGGACACCTTTACTGGACCACTAAAATCTTTCAAATACAAACTGGTTTTCAGCTCCCGAGTCTTCATCAGGCAGGGAATTGAGGAACTGAAAGTGGTGCAGAAGAAACATAGAAGTTCCAAAAATTATCGCTGACCTTTCCTGTGTTTACTGTAGTTCCAAAATGGAGATTACAGAGTAAGAGGTGGTAGGTTTGAAATTTTACCTCTGAAAGATGTAGGTTAGATGGTCCCTTCCAGTATTGTCAAACCAACAGCCATTACACTCAGCACCCTCCACAGTATTGCTTCAGATCTTCTTTGGATAAATATACAAACAGTAACTGCTACCAAATGAGCCTTTCCTGTAAAATTTCTACAAGAGATTCAGAGGACATATTCATCCATTTCAAATCTTTTTCTGCACTTCTTTTGTTGTACCACCGTTGGTTTTTTTGTTTTCTTATTGCAGAAAGTCCAGCTATTATAATGGTGGAACAGTGGATGCTCTTAGCAATACTCTCCTGTCTCTTTCTGGAGGTGTGGTTTTGATAGGGAAAGGGGCCTGTCGGGCACTGCCTGCAATATGTGAATTCAGAAGGGAGAGGTTCTTGCTAAAGCAGCTACTCAGCTCTAGAAGGTTCTGAGCGGGTCTTTAAAAAGCCATGTGTGAATTACCATTTGGAAAAGTATAATACATGCTGTGTCATCACACTTCTTCTGTAGGTCTTGGCACAATGTCCCTCTGGTTCCAGACAATTTCACATTGAAACAGATTACACAGTGAGACCTGTTTTATGCAGGGTAAAAGAACTCCTTCCTGCACAGTGCATGACAATAATTGGTCCTTTTTTAAGGATGGCTCCAAACAACATAGCCTGGAATGGACCAGTAATTATGATGTGAAAGATTAATTCATTATTCAATACAATAAAAATCAATTGTCACTAAATCCAACAGCCTTACAACTCCTGTTTGTTTGTTTATACGTAGCATTCCATGAGACACTAAGCTTCCACAATTGTCATGTATGTAACCGGTCTATTCTCTTTGGTCTGTATTCAAGATGCACTTACAGTGAAGCACGCATATGATAAGTTCACACAGTGCACATTTCTGAGCTCGTACAGTTGGCTCCTTCATGGATGACATGCTTGAGTGTGGTTATGTAGCTTATGGAAGGAAACAGGGAAGAGTGGAGGAGGCTTGCCCTGTATAAACTTTTGCATGTGACAAATGATTATGACCACCTCCCCTACCGGCGGCCATTTTGGCCGCCGAACAGCTGATCGTCGGGCTTTGTTTTGTGAAGATCGGTAAGCGAAACGCTTACTGGTCTTCGCAAAGCGAATTTTGGCCTATTAAAAAAATGTTGAGCGATCGCATTAGCGATCCCAAAAAAGGGATCGCTATGCGATTTCGTTGTGGTACGGTGCGCTCGTTAAGCGAGGCACCACTGTATATTGAAGCACGCATATGATAAGTTCACACAGTGCACATTTCTGAGCTTGTACAGTTGGCTCCTTCATGGATGATATGCTTGAGCGTGGTTATGTAGCTTATGGAAGGAAACAGGGAAGAGTGGAGGAGGCTTGCCCTGTATAAACTTTTGCATGTGACAAATGATTATGACCACCTCCCCTACCAGAAAAGGCCTGTGTCTTTGTATTGTTTCAGTGCAGAGTGAAAGACACAGGACATAATATAAAGGGGAGAGGGGCACTCTTCCCTTTCAGCTTAATCCTGCCATGGAGCAACAGAAGCCAGCCCAGTGGAGATTCCAGTGGAGATTCCAGGTCGTCCCTCCACTCCCCTCCCCAGTCTCACTCCACCTAGAATGGAGGCATTCACTGTCAAAAAGGTGTCCAAAATTATAAGTGTAAAAAAGAAAAAGGAAAGAGAAGGCTTTTTCTTCCTGGCAGATGCTGAAGCTGAAGCTACCCATAAAGTTTATTGACAGCAGGTTCAGACGAGACAAAAGAAAGCACTTCCTCCCCAGACACACGGTCACAAAGATGTTGTCCACTTCTGCCTAACAGGTCCGACAGAGCCATGGACCTTTCACATTCAGAAGCCATGTGCTTTGGAGTAACAGGTACTGGGGACAAAAGGAATAAGATAAAGCATTAAAGAAATAGCTTCAGGTCTGTACAGATTCTATTGCAAGAGTGAAACCCAATCACTGTTATCTAAATGCTAGATATCCTGTGGAGGGTACTTTCCAGTACCAAAGGGAATAAATAGATCTCTCCTAGGGACAGCACACAGGTGCAAAATAATCACTCTCTGTGATGGTGATGAGAGTGTGTCCTTCACTGCACCGGAGAGCAGAAGGCCAGCATAAAGGATGCAAGGCAGTGTACCCTACTGCATTGGTCCCCAACCTTGGGCTTCCAGATGTTCTTGGACTACAACTCCCAGAAGCCTTCATCACCACCTCTGCTGGCCAGGATTTCTGGGAGTTGACGTCCAAGAACATCTGGAGGCCCAAGGTTGGGGACCACTGCGCCTACTGCATACAGCTCTGCCCTTGGACATCTCGCTGGCCTTCAGCCCAAGGTTGGGGACCACTGCCCTACTGCATACAGCTCTGCCCTTGAACATCTTGCTGGCCTTCACCACCCCTCCAACATCTGCTACCTGAGGTGGCTGCTTCATTCTGCTTGGTCAGGCATGATCGTAACTAGGCTTAGTAAACTGGTTTTTATAGCAAACTCCTAAATAGCTTGAGACATCTATAAGGAGATGAGTTAGAATCAAGAAGCTTATCTGGGCCTTATATGTGCTGTCATGCCTTGAACATCTCTAGTGAGATTTGTAGAGAAACCAACAATTGTGGCACAGCTGACTGAATTCTAATCTTTGTGACAAGAATAGTCTTTTCTGGTTCTGACACTGCGCCCCTCTCAATTCGTATTCCTCTTGGTGCTTTCAGGGCAGATGGCCGTCGTTGGTCCTTGGCTTCCCTGCCTTCGTCTGGGTATGGAACCAACACTCCCAGCTCCACTGTATCGGTAAGAGCTTCTTGCTGCTAAGAAGACTTTGGGGGCAAACAAGAGCTGACAATTTTAAGGAATCTTTTTTATTGGACAAAGGTTGGGAAGCCAGATTGGAGTGACTGAAAGCAGCCACGTTCCTGCAGTTGTACGTGGTACATAGAGTAAAATATGGCTACAATTGGCCAGCTAATCCCCATATTGTTGCTATTCATATATATGAATATATAGCATATATACTGCAGAGATCTTAGTGAGGTTGAGGATGAAGAATGGGAAGTATGGGATGGAGGAGACCGTGAATGATAATCTGGGTTGCTATGGTTCCTCTGGGGTACCCCTGGTAGAGGATTGTGCTTGAAGAGAAGTACAGTATCCTCTCTCAGTTCCATGGACAGAAGCTGACTGACCTGGCTGTGAGTATTACATCTAAAGCGTTGGTGAGACAATATTTTGCATTGGACAGATTTTTCTTCCAAATGTAGGGAGTACTTGAGGGGCTGCAGAAGAACAGTTGGTGTTTGGCACTGCTGCCCCCAAGAGCCTGCTGCCTGCGGCAATCCCTTCACTTTGCCAGATGGTAGAGATTTCCTGTATGAAGTCCATGTAGTGTTAAATGCTCTGAGTCTATAGGTGAAAAGACACATCATAGGGAGCAGATGTTGGGACTGGCTGTGAATGTTTCCCTGCAACTGTGTCATGCTGACCTCAGTCTCCTACATATTCTCTTGTGCTCTGCTTTAGGAAATGGAGATGCATATGTGTAGTTTACCCTATACACATGGACATCTTTGCTCCCAGTAACATGAAGCTCTTGCATGCTGGGTTGAGGTAGCTTTGCATGCAAAATGTTCTATCTTTGATCCCTGGCATTTCCAGCATGGCAGAAAAGAGAGTTCTTTATGAGAGGCTCATGGGACACTCAATGTAGACAGTACTCAGTTAGAGTATTCCTGATCAGTTGGCAGAACAAGGCAGCTTCTTACCACTTTTTGTGGGGGGCAGTTTCGCAAGCGATCATGTTTAATTGCCAGTTTAATTATATTTTATTTCTCTTTCTAAACAGTTGCATGTTTTAGAAGGCTGTATAGTACATATACAAGAATGTGTCTGTTTCCCAAAATTGGCTGCACTACACTGCCCGATATATGTAAATAAATGGCAACTGTGCCCCTCCCTGGATCCTGTTGCATATCAGCATCCACTCAGGGCCTGTAGCCAGTTCTGTTCCTTCTTTTCCTTGTAGTCATCCTGCTCCTCCCAAGAGCGCCTTCACCAGCTGCCTTATCAGCCCACTGTGGATGAACTGCATTTCCTTTCCAAGCATTTTGGAAGCACTGAGAGCATTACTGATGATGATGGGGGGCGGCGGTCCCCTGCAGTGCGGCCCCGGTCCCGGAGCCTCAGGTAAGGAGATAGAAGTAAAGGTACCTTCAAAAACCAACACACTTTTGTGACCAGTGTGTGCATTACATATTCAGCTTTCCTAGAAATATAATTAAAAATGGGATCTGCAATGAAGTTATTGCCAAACTATGGTAGCTCCCACCAGATGTATTGCACTACTACTTCCATCACCTCCAGCCAACAGCACTATGGACATTTCATTTAGGGATCATGGGAGTTGTAGTCCCACATATATGGAAGGTGGTAAGTTGGGGAACACTAAGCTACAGAATGGGGTTCTTATTTCTAAAAGTCCAGCATTTCAATTGATTCTGAGCTAGGCCTTGCTAGCAACATTTTGGATATATGGTTGGGGGCTAAGACTGCTGAAATAATCAGACGGAAAAACTTTGAGAACTGTTTTCTTAGTGCAGTGATCTTTGCTTGTAAACTATCTGTACAGCAGCTAAGTTGGGCTGGCTGTCATAATTGGTGAGAGAGTGGTTGACAGTGTTTGACTAGAAGGCTTTACAGTGTGATTCAGAGAGGCATCTATTAAATGCTATAAAGAACTAAGTTACCAGTAGCTGCATCATTATGACCTCCATTTTAATACTGCATTTTACTTCTTTCTGTGTGACAAACTCCTTCTTTCTCCTATAATCCTCTTCAAACCCTACATGTCCTCACGGGTTGTTTGAACCAGCATACTTCTCAAACTCTGCAATAACCTTTACCACTGAAGACACAATAAGTTTATTCCAGGTCCTCCAAGAACTTAAATGAGGCCTAGGCCATTTTTCATTTTAAGACCACCTCATTTTTTGAGAAGAGGGGTAAAAATACAGTATGTTAATGCAAAGAATGGCATAAGATGAGGCCCAGGCCAAATGGCCCTCCTGCTCCTCACCCTCATCATAGGGCCTGCTGCAGTAGGAGATTGTTAAAATCCAGTCCTATTGTCTTCTGGCCTAGAGAACAGTGAAGTCAATGAGTCCCAAGCTTATGTCATTTGTTTCAGGCCTGGCTCCTGAATAGCTCAAAGCAAAGCAATAGTGTTAAGAAATTGAAATTGGCCTGTGGAAAAAGGGGACACAACAGATAAGATTTTCTGCTATATTTTTAATTTGATAAAAAAAAAATTGTAAACCTGTTCTCCTATACACAGTCTTCATGGATGAATCCCCATGGGGACTTGCCTTGAGAAGACATGGTTAGGGCTGCATTATTAATTTTTTGCACTGAGATGTTCCAGGCTGGGAGACAGGAAGAGCGAGTAAACCAATCCAACCCCAAAAAGCTCCTGGATAGGGAAGAGGTCACGCCCAGGAGCTGATGCATTGTTCTTCCTTTGCAGCCCGGGCCGGTCTCCATCCTCCTATGACAATGAGATAGTAATGATGAATCATGTTTACAAGGAGCGATTCCCCAAGGTAAGGACCAGGGTGGAACCTAAAGATATCACTTTTATCAAAGACCCTCCTATGGTGGCCACTTTGTCTAAGAACTTGAAAAATGTCCAGCCACATTACTAGAGTTAAAGCACTCTGTTTCAGTGAATCACCTTTTACTGGCAAGGAAGAGAGACAGTCTTTTTCTATTTTAACAATTACAGATTAATTAATACTTGAAAGCAGCTTTCCACGTAAGAATGCTTTCGAAATGTGTTGGATTGCTCTTGCCATCATACCCATATAGCATGGTCAATATCTATGCAAGCTGAAGATGACTGGATTTGTCATTCAACTCATGTCAAAAGTGCCAGCTTAGGAAAGGCCATTTTAAAACCCAAATGCTTGGGGAAGCTACTTTAAAACTCAACCCACAGTAGTATCTTGATTGCCTTACTTGTCTCATTCTCACTATTGTTTCAATATTTTAAACAAATACCGTAAAAAAAAAAACAAGAGCTTGAAAATGAGACAGTGGCAGAACAACAGAAAACCAGGATTGTACCCAAGGTTAGAACCAAGTATGTACTTTGATATCTGAATGGCATGTACAATTATTATTCATATATAAATGGATTGAATGACAAATAGAAAGGTTTTACTCCTTGAAAGACTGAGAAAGAAAGGGATCTCTGGGACTGGATGTATATTATTAGATGCCTAAAAAGAGAAAGAGGGTCAGATAGCAAGCTCACTAGTTTAGCCAGACTAATAGATATCCCTTTTCCCTTCTCCCAGTTTTACAGTAGACTGAGGTTCAACTCTAAACACAGCAAGTAATCTCCTTACATAGGAAAGTGATAAAGGAGGGGGTTCTCATGATCTAGAACTCAGAAACATTTTTTAATTGGAGGAGTGTAGAGAATGCGCTGAGTTGAGTTATGGCAGAGATTTGTTAGCACTCAGGATTTGCTGACTTTCCTCCTGGCTTTGGGAAAGGAGCAGCATCCAGTCAAGGCTATTTGCTCTGACATAGTATCCTCCATTTCTTGTACCAACAGGCTACGGCACAAATGGAAGAGAAGCTAAAAGATTTCATTAAGAGTTATGAGCCAGAGAGTGTGTTGCCCTTGGCTGATGGAGCACTCAGTTTTATCCACCACCAGGTCATTGAGCTAGCACGTGACTGCCTAGCCAAGTCCCAGGAAGGTCTCATCACCACTGTCTACTTCTATGAGCTGCAGGAGAACATGGAGAAGCTGCTGAAAGATGTAAGCATCCCAATCAGTCAGTGGCATTTAGGCAGAGGTATAAAGAAGTCAAACGTTGTGGAAACAGATGAAGAATACAGGGAATGGCATTCAAAAAGGGTGCATGAAACTGGGTTGGCTTGGAATAATTTTTGGGTGAAATTGGATTTACAAGTAAGTGATGGGAAGTTAAGAAGGAAGCATCCATTGTGGGCAAGGTAAGTCACGAGAGTCCAGGGTCTGGAAATGAGGCCCTGGAGAGGTAAGCATGCCCCATGAGTGCAATAACATTCCATGGAGGTGATCACAGACAAACTGTTGACTCGGCCTTCCATCCTTCTGAGGTTGGTAAATTGAGTACCCAGCTTGCTTGGGGGGGGGGGCAAATAGGTAGCCTGCATAATAAAATTGTAAACTTGCCTAGAGAGTGCTTTAAGCATTATGGGGCAATATGTAAGCAGCACATTTTTAAATGAACCACAATTTTGATTGCTTCTAGGCTTATGAACGCTCTGAAAGTGAAGAGGTAACTTTTGTCACTCAGTTGGTGAAGAAGCTGCTGATTATCATCTCACGCCCAGCCCGCCTACTGGAATGCCTGGTGAGATACTGGGAAGTGTTTAAGCATATATTTGTGCCTGCACTCCCACATAGTGGGAATTGGCAGGTGGACTCAAAAGTGCACGCCCCTGTCCTTTCTTGATTTTCTTGACAGCCAGCATGCCATCAATATATGGCAGTGATTCCCCTAAATGGACATATGATGAACAGGGGAGTACAGCATTTGGGTGGAGGGAGAGGTGTTGTTCTCCACCTCCACCTCTCCTTCATTTTCAGTTCTAGGCATCCTCGTGTCCTCCACACGTTTTTGTCTAGAACTGCCGTAGTGTGACTATTGGTGATGTTGGTTAAGGCCCACGGATGCTGTAATCCACAATACAGTGGTGCCTCGCTTTACGATCGCTTTGTTTAACAACGAAATCGCATAACAATGAACTGATGTTTCCTATGGGGGAATTTTGCTTTGCGATGATTGGTTCCCTGCTTTGGGAACCGATTCTTCACAAAACAACGATTTTCCAACAGCTGATCGGCGGTTTCAAAATGGCCGCTGGGTAAATAAAATGGCTCCCCGCTGTGTTTAGGGACAGATTCCTCACAAGACAGACAGCGAAAATGGCCACCCTATGGAGGATCTTCACTGGACGGTGGGGTTTAAGCCCATCGGAACGCATTAAACAGGTTTTAATGCGTTTCTATGGGCTTTTAAATTTCGCTTTACGATGTTTTAGTTCTACAGCGATTTCGCTGGGACGAATTAACATCGTAATGCGAGGCACCACTGTATATGGAGAATACCAGTTTGCCTACCCCTGCATGGTGTGCGAAGGCGTCGTGCAGTTAGAGTTGTGTGGAGCCACCAGAAAACTCTAAGCATACGTGTGGAACATCCAGAGAGTAGCAAGTGGTGAGCTTTTGTCATCAAATATTGCAACTGATTTAGAATCCAGCTGACTTGCAAGCAATAACCCCAGTTGAATGTTCCATTGGAAAGAGTTCCTCTAGATGTAAAATACTGTGCTAAAAATAGATGGTGTCCTTGCAGGAGAAATGTAATTTGAATTCTCCAGAGAACTATGAAAAAGCAATATATATTTTAATTAAGAAAATCCTGAATTGAAGAGAGGCCTTTAAAATGCATGGGTCAAGTGTAACAGGCCTGACTGCATTAACTCAGTAACTATATCAGTTGGAACGTTTTGTCCTTGTTCAAGGCTCATTTGTCTTCCCAGTGGGGTCTCTGAGGTTATTTTGTTCCTAGCAAAATACACTTTCAAAAACTTCATATTTTAAGAGGATCCGCTTTGTGCTGTACTTACCTGCCATGCACACTGGACATTCACATAGCTGACTGATTGATTCTGCTTTACTATACACTATGTTGAGAATCCCTGCTAGGGACAGATGGAACATTGCATTTTAATTTATTTATTCAGTCATTCATTTACCACATCCTTCTTCTGCCCTCCCTCCAGCATTTCTTTAGTTGAAAAAGACCTCAGAATGGTTTGCATACAGTCTATTACAGTGGGGTCTTGACTTGAGAACTTAATCCGTATTGGAAGGCGGTTCTCAAGTCAAAATGTTCTCAAGTCAAATCTGCATTTCCCATAGGAATGCATTGAAAACCATTTGATCCGTATCTGCTCTTTTCCATCCATAGAAACTAATGGGAAGCTGCTATTCTGCCTTCGACCACTAGAGGGGGATATTTTGTTTCTTTTTTTCTTAGGTCAAGAAAGGTTCAGGGAAAGCAGGGAAAATACAGTCCAGGCAGTACAGTACCAGGCAGTCTGAAGACAGTCTCCCAATCCACTCTCTAAACGCTGGGAGGAGTGAGGAAGCAGACAGGCACCCTTTTCACTGGCCAACAGTTAACTGAAAGTTCAAATTTTGCACTTTCCCTGCCTCCCACGTGCGTTTTTTTCAGTTCTTAACTCAAATCTAAGTATGTAAGTCAAGTCAATATTTTCCTATGAGAGCGGTTCTTAAGTCAAAATGTTCTTAACTCAAGCCGTTCTTAAGTCAAGACCCCACTGTAATAACTATATATATATAATATCCTTAGAACTGCAAAACTGGAAGGGCCCCTATGGATCACCAAGTCACCAGCTCCTGTCAATTCCAGTGAAGAATTGTACTCCCAACCTCTGACTCTACAGCCAGATGACTAACCATTGAACTACACTGTTGTTTGTTCTTGTTAAATATAACAATCCCTGCCCTCGTATTTACAGTCTAGAAACACATAACGCAAAAGGAAGAAAGAGATGGGCAGGAAAGAGAAAAGCAAGTAGCCCTGCTTCCCACCTCCACTCCCTCGGATGCAGCCTGATGAGATAGTGCTAATGGGTGACAGCTGACACAAGAAGCTTTCCTGTGGAGAGTCTTTCAGCAGGTCTGCTGCTGTGACCCCCACTTCTAATCTTCATCTCATGCAGTCTGCCAGAAAATACGTAACATTGTTTAAATTAATTGCCATCAACAGTAATGAAACAATTCTAGCTAGCCTAGGAACTCACAGTGAGCACCACTTTTGGATGTGAGTTTTTTCTCAACCCCCAATGTCCACCGTCGGTGCCTTAATTCAGCCATGGCTCACTGTTATTAAACTTGTTTTCAACACCAGTCATGTCTTTAAAAATTGAGAAAATTAAGATGCGTAGGCATGCACTCTCCACTCCATAGGCCTTAGCAGAGCCCACATGAGAAATTAAGGAAAAGGGCTTTCAGGCCAGGAGATTTCCAAAGAATGGCCCAGCCAGAGGATTACAGGCGAATGGGGTGGGGAGAATAAAAGTTAGCGCAGAATGGCTCCAGATTCTGCCCCCAAAGCTTTTCAGAACAGTTACTCATTACATTTTGTAAAACAGCGAAGTTGTTAGCTATTACATTACTTCTTAAAAATAGCATCATTCTGCTGTTATTGGCTGATAAGTAATTACAAGTACTTTCAATGCATGACAAGTAACAGTGTTAATTGTTTTGCACCATTTTTGCAGTCTGGATAGAGTCCAAGACAGCTGGGTGGCACCCAGCTGGAGCCGGCTCTTTTAGACCCATTGATGTAAGAGAGACAAATGAAACAGGTAGCTTTAGGGGAGGAAGAAGCAGCTTGTTGGGCAAAGGATTTGGGAGATAATTGAAGATGGCAAGACAAATCTGATGCCACTTTCAAACAAGTGAAATGTTCTAGCATGCTGTATCTTAATGAACTAGAGTTTCTATTAATAGGTTTGTGGATTTGTTTATTTAAATAAATGTGCAGCAGAAGGCCTGAGTTTGTATTCTGTTCTGATTCACGGTGAGACTGCTTCAGTTTTTCAACTCTAGCCCCCAAAGATCTTTGGCCCAGCCCATCTCAGTGAAGGTTATGATGAGCTACAAAAATGTTTTTTTTTTTCCAGCTCAGTTCCTGTGTGGAGGTGCTCAGAGCTGCTTGTTTTTGATGTGTGTATTCTAGGACTAAGTTGTCGCACTGAAAATGGCTTCTCTGAGATGAATCCCATGGCACCTTGACTCAGATGAGGCCTTTTGCCTTCTGCCTCCCGACTCTGGCTCTGCTCTTTGTCATCTGGGAGAGCACAGGATCATCAGCTTTTCTCCACCTGTGCTGGTTGGCTTTGAAGGTGCCTGGTGCGTTTCCCTGACAACACACCAGCCAATCGCAGGGAGCGCTTTGTCAACCTGGCCCGTTGCCATCTGGCTCCACAAGCAGAGGCTTGTGCTGCCCTTAATGTGGTATCTGTTGCTGCGCATAGAAGCATTGAAGGTGTCTAAAGGATGAGAGTGGCAGTGGAGGGGTGGGAGAAAGCCTAAGCCCCTCATTCCATGCCCACACCCATCTGGCATAGAAAGAATTGTGTTTAAAAACAAAATGTGCTTTTAAAATGTATTAAAGAACAACAAAAATGGATTGAATAATTGGATATATTTAATTAGCTGTTGAAGTTATTTGGCTTGTGGGTACTTTCCCCCCTAAATCAGTCTATTAAAGGATGTGCATTGCGGGGGGCTGTTAAATTGTGTTAATTATTGGGGGAGGGGGTTTTCTCCAGCAGCTGTTGTCTTGTAAATAACTGCTGGAGGAAAAGTGAGTTCAGACCCCACCCACTTCTTGTCTGGTTTTGTGATATCTCTCCTAAGAGTCACAACTAATTCTGTCATCTACATGAAGTCATTCCAATCTTGATTCTTGATTCATCAAGTGGTTGTAAAAAGTCAAATTTAGAGAGGTTGCAGTCTAACTCACAGGCTCATGTGAGTACTTGAAATTAAAACTGCAATGATGCATTCTTCTCACATGTATTACTCTTCGTTTATTCCCCATATTGCAAGGTTAGAAATTCCCAGCACTTAGTGTAGCAACATTGCAAACTTGTTATTTGCTTGATATATAGGAGAGAAACTGTGAAACAGAAGGGCCTCCAGTCATGTAGCACCAGCTGGTGGCCTACCATCAGTCCATAGCAATGCCTTCCCTTTGGCCATGATTCCCGAAGTTGAAGACCAGATTATCTAGGGGGCCAAAGACTGTCCATCCCATCTCTAGATATCCCATTTATATCCTTTTCTCACCTTCCTACAAGGATATCAGGCAAATGTACACAGGGCCTTAATGTCCTTATTTTTCACAGTTACCCTGTGAGGTAGGTTCAGCAGAAAGAGACTGAGAGAGAAGGAGAGAGAGAGATTGAATCTGAAGTCGAGACTGAGATTGAGGTTGATAGGATTTTATCCTTGGTCAGCCTAACCCTATGAGCTAGTCCAAAACATTTTGCTTCTAGTGGCAAAAGACACAATTGGTACCTCCATCCATCCATCCATCCATCCATCCATCCATCCATCCATCCATCCATCCATCCATCCATCCATCCATCCATCCATCCATCCATCCATCCAATTTTTAACCCACCTTTCTCCTTTAAAAGGGCCCAAGGTGGCTTACAACGTTAAAAGACAACATTTAAAGCTAAACCAGTAAGTATACAAATGTTTTAAAAGATCAGACAAGTAACACTCTAAGAAACAGTAAGCTAAAGCAACACCAAAACACATTCACAGCAGTAAGGTACAACAGCCTATTTAAAAACACCACTCAGGCAGCCAGTCACTGAGAGAAAGCTTGCCTGGCAAGAAAGGCCTTGTCAACACTGGCAATTGAGTGGAATGTTCCACCTTGTCCAAGGGCATCAGCCTAGTTTAGGGGATGCAGAGACAACTGCCTGATGTCGTCTGTTCGAGGTCAGGGAAGAGCCAGTCATTGCCATTGCTGTCCCCTTTACATCACAGAGCATTTTGCCTCTTGCTTCCAAATGGAAGGGCCAGCCCTTCTGGTGCAAGTCGAGCAAATGTACAACTACACCACAATAGGTCTCTCTTTTGTGACTTCCCTGAGAAAGTGAAAACAGCTTATAATTGCCAGCCTCCGGCTATCCCAAGAAATTTTTTTGCTCCAAGGCAGAACTGTTGATGGGACAAGTCCAGGCCCTAATTCTGGCTTATGGATGCTACTTTCTAGGAGTTCAATCCAGAGGAGTTTTACCACCTGTTAGAAGCAGCTGAGGACCATGCCAAAGAGGGACATCTGGTGAAGACAGACATCCCCCGCTACATCATCAGCCAGCTTGGACTCACCCGAGACCCCTTCCCAGGTAATGTAGCAAAAGCAGCTGCCGGCAACCAGGCAGCCGTATACATTTGCACCTGAGCCATGATACCTGTTCCGTTACGTGACTGTGTGTGTGTGTGTGTGTGACTTCATGCATGTCTTAGCATGCTCATCTTGTTACTCCTGTAAATACGTAGCAAATCACCCTTCATACGGGCTGCTGAGTTTGGCAAAGCACAGAGCTAAATGGTTTTTTGAGGGGAGGATCCCTCATGACTGGAACAACCTTGATTTCTCTGCAACATTCAGGCTCACCTCTTCATATGAAGAGTTCCTATAGTGTAAGCAGGTCAACTTATTAAGCTGGAGATACAGACAGTGTGATATCACTAAGGGGAGTGGGGTGGTTGGCTGGCTAGGACAGCTTCTAGTTTTGGCAGGATCATAAAACTTCCAAGAACTTAGGAAAGAATTCCGACTCATTAATGGGCTAGTAGTGGGGGAGAAAGCAGGCATCCTTAGAGCCACTTTCTGAGTAGTTAGACTTTTGTCCAGGGTGGGGAATATGTGTCCTTCCAGATGTTGCAAGACTATAATTCCCATCACCCCTGACCCACCATATCTAGCACTGAAGGATTCTAAGAGCAGCAGTCTAACAACACTTGAAAGGTTAAACAGTGGTGCCCCGCCTGACGACGAAATCGCTTAACAATGAGTTTTTTTGTGATCGCTATTGCAATCACAAAACGATGGTTCCTATGGGTTTTTTTCGCATTACGTTGATTAGGTCCTTGCTTCGCGAACCGTTTGTTCGCAAAACAATGTTTTTTCCGGCTCCACAAAATGGCTTCCCTTTGCAAAATGGCTGGCTTCCCTTCGCAAAATGGCTGTTTTCCAGACCCCTGCTTTGGAAGACAGCAATTTTAAACAGCTGATCAGCGGTTCTCTATGGGCGATCTTCGCTGGACGATGAGGTATTTCCCCATTGGAATGCATTAACCTGTTTTCAGTGCATTCCAATGGGTTTTTTCCCGCTTGACGATTTCGCTTAACAGCGATTTTCCTGGAACTGATTATCGTCGTCAAGCGGGGAACCACTGTATATTCCCTGCATCTACATTAGTCTGATCTAGCAAGGTACTGCTGATGACAAGCAAGACTGCACTTTCAGGATTCCTGAACACAGTCCAGAAAAAAAATTAGCGTTTAAATTTAGCTTCCCAAGCATCCACTTACTGTGTAAATTTAAAATCATGCCCATAGACTGTGGAGATTCTATTTCTCCCCACTTAAAAAATAAAAATAAAAGCTCTGAATTGGACCATGCAAGATTCGAATCAGCTTCTCTGCTTTTACTGTAGAAGAAGGGCTGTTCTAAGGGACTGGGATCCTTTTCATGGAGAACAGAGTGTATTAATCTCTGAGCCAACAAACCCATGACATCTTGACCCTGAGGCCTAGTTTTTACAGAGAGAATAATCTTGTGCCCAGAGCAGGACAAGAGCCTTTCTTACAAAAGAGCCACATAAGAGCCTTTCTTCTAAAACTGCAGAAAGGCCTGCAGATGTGTAGCACTAAGACTCCCATGGCTGGGAATGATGAGAGCTGTAGTAACACATATCCGAAGAGTGCCAGGTGAGGAAAAGCTGGTCTAGTTCCCTCCACATAGAAAGCATGTGTGCTCAGTACATGTAGGAGAGGCTCACTGAAGAAGTTCCTTTTTTTCCATAGGTCAGCTGTGAGTGCTTGAATTTATAAAGCAAAAGGCATTGGGAGGGGGAGGGAGGGAGGCTCCAGGGAATGCGCAGACAGCCTGAGTTTCCCTTCTTTTAACAAAACAATGGCGTCCCCTGTAGAGTCTCCAAAAAGAGTAACAAGTGGAGGTTTACCCTAAGAAGGGGCTCGGGTTTCCTCCTAATCATTCCCAGCGATAGGCATATCACGTCTTTGACACACTAACATTCTTTGTGGAAAAATTACTGTTGTATGGAGGGAGGTTCAGTTATGTAAGACCCCATCTGCAATGTGAAGTGGCATAACCCAGACACAGGCTTCCCACTGAGAACTAGGCCGGGGACCAAGATTGATATCCGCACCTGAATCTGACATCCTGGAGCAGCATCCAGTGCACCAGAAGGCTGATTTTACAGCCAGGCCCTGCTTCCTGGGTGCACAGGCAGAAGCACCCAAGTCTCCCATTGACTTGCAATTAGTATGGTCTTGGCACTTTGCACACATCAGCAGCTCCTGGTGTCTCATAAGACCTGACCATAAAGGGGAAGCTGGAGTGATCCAATTCATGCTTTAAAATTTCTTATCTTCTGTTTTATCTTGCATGTGAACTCTCCTTCCATTCACCTGGGAGATATTCCTCGCCCCATGAGAAAGATTCAGATAGCTCTTCTGGTTACTCCAATTTGTCCTCCTATTGATTTTTATGCCCCCATCCTTGTCCCTTCCCTGCCTTTTTTCACAGCCATCATTACACAGGCTATGGCGATTCCCCCCCCTTTTTTTGTTAAATAAAGTGACATAGCGCTGCAGCGATCCATTATCCTAGCATGATATTATATATATTGTACTGAAAGACATCTCCGTTATGCGAGGCACCACTGTATATATATTGTACTGAAAGACATCTGCCATGTTGCATCAGTTAGGGAAATATTTAAAAAGGAGATGAAAATGAAGGAGGGCATTTCTACATCCTATCTTTTAATGTCACAAACTGCTGAATATATCACAGGGTTGACATCTCAACTAACATTGCCCACAGTTCGGGTATACATTTGCCAACTGCACAGGCTATAGAACAGGAGAATCAGGAGCACTCTCAATGACACCAAATAAACTGCAGCCTTAGCACTGTGCTAGAAAGAAACAGGACAGCTTATAAAAGGGGCAGGATGGATCACTTTTATTGAAAACACATGTGTTCACTGGAAAATAAGGCGAACCCAACTGCACCAGAAGAGAACCAAATAGTGAGCTACATGATCACACTTACAGTTAGCTGATCGTCTACAGGGCAAAAGGCAGATCACTCTGTGTGTGTGAATCTCTCTTACGATAAAAAAGCTAAAGGGTAGGAAATAGATTAAATTGCAGGTGAAGAACTGCGTTTTCCTGGTTTTGCTTATTCTGGTCCCAGCCTCACTCCTATACTGCTGATCTCCTTCAACAATCTTTATGTTGTTTTATCTTAAACAGACAAAAGTAGCTAACATGTTATGCCTTGATTCTATAAAGTCACGAATGCTGAGCTACCAACAATGTCAGTTACCAATCGTCAGCCTGGGGTTCTCCTTCCCTCTAGGCAAACTGACAAAGAACATGATGCAGGGGATACATGGATCGTGTTCCAGTGTTAAGGAGTTAGGGATTATTGCAGGGATGGTGTCGGGGGTACTCTTTACTTGAGTACAGCAATGTGGGAGGAAGGGGCATTTAAACCCTTTCCCTCAAACTGGTTTTCTAATAAAAATTCATTTCCCCCCCCCACACACACACACCCAGGCTATTTTTGTCTAGGGAAATTGCATGGGCTTGTCCTGTGTCATTTGACCCATCAGGGCGGATAGCTGGTCAAACAAATTCTCCCTGGGATCAGAGCCCTTTCCTTACTCATGTAAGGAAAGCATGGAGCCCAGATGCTAATTTGTGGCTGAGTGGAATAGTTTCTAAGGTCCCAGATGCCAGAAGGCTCATCAGACATTTTGAATCAAGAGAATTTGTTTCTTGCAAAGATGATCAACATAAGTCTCACATGCCTCTTAGTTTGCTTGTCATCTTCATGCCTGCAACTTAGCACGTACTTCTGTCTGCATCTGTGTTAAGAATCTGAATGTGGATCTATGTATATGTCAGTGTTTGCTTGCACACATATGAACTGGGCTTCACAGCAGCCTTTCTATACCAGTGACTAAACACACCTGCATACACAAAATTGTTTGCACATCTTTTGCAAAGGTGTGTAGAAAGATGCATGTACATGTCGTTTGCCTGTAATTAGTGTTAACAAGTGCATGGTTGTATCCCCTAATTTGTTAGATAGATGCATGTGGCATTCTTACATAAACACACATACCTTCGCATGTCGCTGTGTGTTCATCTGTGTAACCCATGTGTGTGCCTTTGTGCTGGTGCATGGCTATGTATACGTCTTGGTTTTGCCCTTTCTGTGCTTTCATGAATGACAATGGGGTTGCTAAAGCCTTGTTCCCTTGGCTTTCCCTTTGGCTCTTTCCAAACCCTGTTGTCGTCAGATGTGCTGTATGTGGAGGAGCAGGATAGCGGAGGATCCAACACACCTGAGACAGAGGAGTTCACCGAGGTCAGTACATGGGGGAGCAGCTGTGCCTATCCCACGTGCAGCATCTGCCCCAGCTGTTCTCACACGCACATCATGTGCACAGATCTGTGTCCTTGTCTTCCCACTGGTTCTGCTCCAGCTGCCACAGCCAAGGCCATTGGGTTGCCATCAAAGAAGGCAAGTTGTTGTTGCTGCTGCTGCTGCTGGCCTTCCAAGTAATATCCAATATGGCAGGCACTTATGCAGGAAAACAAACAAGAGGAAGAATGGCAGCAGAGGCGAATGACTTTGTATGTGTTTTCAAAGCTATGCATTTAAGATTGGGTGCACCTGCTCCTTTTGGCAGCAACTGGAACTGAATGGCCAAATCAGACGCTGATTGTGGGAAGACAATTGTCCTGCCTTTTGTTGTTGATAATGTTTAAATAGCAGCAGCCCCCCCCCATAAACTTCATAGTCTCATATATGCACATAAACACATACATGCACATATATGCACACAAACATGTGTATAAACATAGAAAAAGCAAGCTTTTGGTCCTAATGTGGGGGTTCTTTTTTGCATCGTGCTTCTTGAGATGTCTCCTAGAAAAATTAAGAATATTATGTTTAGACATAGAAGAAGAATATTTGCTTTTTAATTCCCCATATGTTGGGTCCAAAACAGTGAAACAAGTCCTTCCAAAAGAACCCAGGAAGCAGTTACTGCCTTACACGCAATGAGACTATTGAATATACTGCAGCAGATGGAATCAGACCATTGGTTCATAAGGGTTAGTATTCCTGCACACTGACGGGCAGCAGCTCTCCAGGTCTTTGAGGTAGTATCCTTTGCTAGCCCCAAAGCTGTGCTCTGCCATTGAGCTATACATCCCTTCACCTTGGATCCTCACTAGTTAAGCAAACCTTGATTAATTCCTGGTGGAATCAATTACAACTCACATGCCAGTTGCTTCTCTGGGGTTGTAGAAGCAGCTGATGCCTGCCTGCCTGCCCTCAGTTCAGTAGAGGTGGCAACAGGGGCAAAGGTGGCATTCCCCAGTAGCTGCTAGAGATGACAACACTGTAAACAGTGCCAACAAAGCTATGTGCTGCTGCAGAGATACACCACAAGCTTCTTTGCAGTGCAGTAGATTATGCTGGTTGCGTTGTTTGGATTAGATGGCACAAGTACTCCTGGGACAGCAGTCCTTCTGGAGCCAGCTCAACACAGTGACAGACTAATGGGGAAAGCCCAGTGGGAAAGAGTGAGGCAAATGCGAGAGTAACGGGGATGAAGCTATGAATAGCCCTCCCTGCCTCCTCCTTCCTCTGTTATGATGGATTCAAAACATTATATGAAAAGGGACAGATGAGGTGTGGGCAACCTGGGGCCCTCTGAGTGGTGTCACAGTACATCTCCTCTCATCCTTCATCATTGGCTGTGCTTCTTAGACCTCTGGGAGTAGCAGCTCAGCAACATCCAGAGGGCTGCACTTCCCTCATCCCTGATGTGAAAAGTGTTTGGTGAGAGGTGGAAGACGGGACGGATACAGTGGAAAGGGGAAGGAGCCCACACAAGGGTAGAAAAAAGGGGAGGGTTTGGAGTATGGTAGGTGGGTGAGAGAGGAAGATAAGAAAAAGGGGGAATAGCAGCAGGAGAAGGATTTCACATGGAGGGCACTGGGCAGATGGAAGAGGCGAGGGTTGAAAGAGGCTTGGAGGAGGGTCCTGGGTACGCAGGTGGGAAGGCCCAGACAAAGGGTGCAGGTAGGAGAAAGGGAGAGGGGGAGTCCAAGAAAGGACAATGCGGCTCTTACAAAGTGAAAGGAAAGCTGGTTCTCAAACTTGCTGGGGGCACTCTGGTCTCCGCTCCCTCCTGTCGTACCACAATCTGATAATGATACAGTGATGGCAGCCATGTGTCACATTTGGGTGGCGAGGTATGCATAGGGGATCGTTCTTGGTGTTGTCCTACAGTGAAGGAATCTCTTGTGCCGCCTATTCCTCCTCCTTTTTGAGATATAACACTAAAAGAGTGTGGGGCTCTTTCAGAAAAATGGCAAGGCACATGAAGCATTCTTGGGGCGGCAGTTTTAAGCTGGAAAGAGTTTGGTATTTTCAGTATGAATTATGTACATATTGGTCTGCTGAATTTGAACGGAATTTTTTTTTGCTTGATTTTTACGCCGTTGTGAGTTTTAGGGTAGGAAGGATGGTACAAGCATATTAAAATTAAACTAAGGCAATAAATGGAGCACTAGTGCGAAGCCACATTTGTATAGTGCAGAGGCAGGAAACTGAAGGAATGCCTCTCCTGCTCCTCTAAATGTTGGCAGCTTTTTTTTCCCATTGGGAAGGAAGCAAGCAGGGGTGGAGGTGAGGGGACAAAACGTTTGCTTTCAGCAGAGCTGACATACAGAAATGCAGAAGAAACTAACTATTCTTTGTGAGGCCTATCCACACTCTGAAATTTAGTGTGATCTGGCTTAAAAGGACTTTATCTTCAGTGCAATCTATTCTAACTCAAGTACCAGTCTGGGAAGGCAGAAGAAAGAGTGATTTTGCATCTCAATGATTTGTCCCCAAATAATTTCATGCCCTAGCCCTGTGCCAGAAAGGTATGGGCCAACTCTTAAAGAGGAAGGTTCGAGCCGATGAAATCTGTTTTTTCTATGCCAGACAGTGCTATCAGAGAATCATATATATAATAACTATATGCCAGTGTAGACAAGCTCTGAGTGCTCAAAGCATTCCCAAGAAAGGAAGGAAGGTGTGTCTTTGTGGTATTTCTTTACCTTTGGTGAGTTCGCTTGCTGCCAGAAAGTCAGCAAATATCATTCATAGAGCATAATTTGCACCAATGCCGGGCAGAGGGTAAGAGAATGTGGAGCCATGTCGGACATATAATGGTTGCCATGTCGGACTGGGATTTAGGGCACCTGGGCTAGCCTCCTCACTCAGCCATGAAATTTCCTGGGTGACCTTGGGCCGGTCACTCCCTCAGAATCCAGCCCTGTCTGCTATGGTTGTTGTGAGGATGAAATGTGTACAGTATGGGTGGGCAGGAGAGAGAGGTTCCTATATTCTTTCTTGAGCTCCCTAAAGGAAAAGTGGACCCAAAGGTAATTTTCATGAAGAACAAAGCAATGCTGATTGCAAAAGGAAGCTAGAAATATCACGCCTCCAGTTCTTTGCTGCTAAGTTCTCATCCGTCTGGCCAAGGCATGGCTTGGACTCTTTCTTGAATTAAAGGGACCCAACCTGAAATTCTTGATAAGTTTCTGGATTAGGGACTGGCTCCCCCACCAAGGCTCTATATTGCCAATGCTGCTGCACAGTCAGGGGTTCCCTCACTGTCCATTTGCAGCCTTGGCTTGTCTCCAATTTTTGCACTTCCTACAGCTATAAATCGAAAGAAAAAGCTGCATTGACCAGGAGTTCATAGAGCATTTCAGGATGGCGCTCTACAACTTTCTGGTGCCACAATTTACAGTGTTCAGAAGTGACATGTATTTATTTATTTGATTGATTGATTGATTGGATTTCTGTCCCGCCCATCTAGACGAAAGGTCTACTCTGGGCGGTAGTCCTGCCCTTTGCAGGAAAAAACCTTTTAAGGTGTTGGCCTTCTATTACCCACTTCCTTGTAAACTCCTTATACCTTCACACCTAATATGCTTACTATTACAGAGTCGTGGAACTACTCCAAAGCCAAAGAAGCCGCCAGGAGAAGGAGACTTTGAAACTATTAAACTTATAAGCAATGGGGCTTATGGGTGAGTAGTAAGTTTAGCGAGATATCACACTCCCTGTGTCTGTCTCTAAAGAAGGATCCCTTTGTTCCTGGTTCAGGGCTGTAGCTTCAAATCAAATCTGGTTTAAATGCTTACCTGAGCCAAAGGTTTTGTGTGCATGATGGAGGAGTACACCTATGCAATCTTCTCCCCACTGCCAGGAAAATGTCTAATACAATCACTGTGCACAGTCTTCCAAATCATTCAATCTCTCCCCCTCTTGAACATCTGTGTCTCATTACAGCAGAAGAGATAGTGCAGGGACCTTTCATTTCTGTGATGTGAATAGGATCTTTAATATGGAGGAATATCTGAACGAGGCTCAGAAATTCAGGAGCTATTACTCCAAAATGACAAACCTATGCATTTATTTTTAAACTTATATGATATCTGAACGAGGCTCAGAAATTCAGGAGCTATTACTCTAAAACAGTGGTGTCAAACTGTGGCCCTCCAGATGTTCTTGGCCTTCAACTCCCAGAAATCCTGGCCAGCAGAGGTGGTGGTGAAGGCTTCTGGGAATTGAAGTCCAAGAACATCTGGAGGGCCACAGTTCGACACCACTGCTCTAAAATGACAAATCTATGCATATATTTGAGGCTCAGAAATTCAGGAGCTATTACTCTAAAACAGTGGTGTCAAACTGTGGCCCTCCAGATGTTCTTGGCCTTCAACTCCCAGAAATCCTGGCCAGCAGAGGTGGTGGTGAAGGCTTCTGGGAATTGAAGTCCAAGAACATCTGGAGGGCCACAGTTCGACACCACTGCTCTAAAATGACAAATCTATGCATATATTTTTAAATGTATACAATCTTTCAGCTTTGCTTTGTAAGACGTTTACAGGGAACAAGCACAATTAACAATAAAATCATAATATAATAAGAGTTCAAACATCGCAAACATCCCCCAGGAAGGATAACCCTTGAAAAGACAACTTTCTCAGGAACCTGAGTAGAGGGAGCTTATCTTATAAAATCATAATATAATAAGAGTTCAAACGTCACACAGTCAGAACATTAATCAACTCGTTGAAAGCAATGTTTACCAACAGCTAAGCAGAGGTAAAATCTCAAATCATTCTGGTCCATTAAGCATGTGTGGAATTTAAGGACAGTGTCATGAGTGCTGTCAGAAAACAGCTACCATTGGGAGATGCCCGTCCACAAAATGGATGTTGGGCTGGATGCAGCCTGTCGCAAACATCCCCCAGGAAGGATAACCCTTGAAAAGACAACTTTCTCAGGAACCTGAGTAGAGGGAGCTTATCTTGCCTTCAAGGCAGTAGATGTGGCCCTTAAGGTGCCCTGACCCTTATCCCTGTTGGTTTCCTGCCATCCGGCTTAGATAACAAAGACTGCTCTTTCTTGGCTCCTCCAGAGATACATTGTGAGAGGACTGGAGAGAAAGTGAGGAGAAGGGTCACCATCCCAAGAAAGTGAGACAGTGGCAGAGATATGGAGACATGTGCGCATGTGCATGTATCCCTCAACCCCCGAAGCCAATAACACATGCGCCCTTCAGAGCCAAAAGGAATTGACACAAGCAGGTTGAGCAGGCAGCCCTGTGTGATAGGAAGGCAAAGGGCCTGACCTCGTGCTACCCCCCACCTTCTTTGCTCCTAAGAATATCTCTGCACGCACACAGGGCCCAAAGATATTCTGGGGAAAGAAAATTGAGATAGTAGGTGACTGTAAGACAAGTGTCTTTGCAGGCACCCACGCTAAAAATGTAAATTTAAAAACACACATAGTTCTTCAGGATAGACAGTTCCCTGGACAGATGACTGCTGAAGCATGTGGGCCACCTGATGTGAGGGTAGGTGCTACCCAGGTCCCCAGCCCATAAGAACACTCTTTCTTGGCTTTGGACCTAAGGACTGCCAAAATCAGATATGTCACTCCATCGTCTCATTGTTTTGATGTGTTTACCTGGCCCTGGAGACTTGGGACAGGTCCTTCGGGTGTGTAGAGCCATCCACCATCGGACAGTCGCCCAGTCTAAGCTGGCAGAGGTGGGGTGAGGACTCCTGGGCTGATGGTCTTGCACCGTTGCTCTTTAAACATTCATATCTATCGTGCTTAACCCATTAAAGAACAAGGGAGTATGAACGCATGCAAGTGGAGAAAAGAAAATCACCCCAAATAAAAAACTAGAAACAAAATATCCAAATTTTAATAATGGGGTTGGGGGGGCAAGGCAAGATGAGGGACAAGAACAGGAAAAGAAAAACAACCGTTTCATTTAAAAAGTTACACTGTCCAACTAAATATCTAAGCATAAACTTCAGTGAAAAGTGATCCAGATTGGTCTCTGTGCTCAGCTGACATACATACGCCATGTGTTCAAATCTTGAAAAAGATCTGACTCTGTAATTATCATTGTATCAATATGCAGGAAGAGGTTATGGCTTCTGAATTCAAGGTGGTCTTTGCTGATACTGACTACCTGGATTTATTGCAGTCGGGTTTCCAGTTTGATCTTGGAGCTAGGCAGTCACACCAATACAGTAGATCTATAAATATCTATCATAGAATAGAAGAACAAATGTAAGCAGATCTGATTCTGAGCACTAGCCCATTTTCAAGAATAATTAGGGAGTGAAGGGTAGCGTTAGAGTGTCTCTAGGTCTTTCCAGTTCTCTCCCTTGTTGTTGGAGAGTGTGATCTTGAAGTGATTTGTGGGAGAGAAAGAGGAATAAGAGAAGGGTTAAAGTCTAAGAATTTGTGTATTCTGCTTCTCCTGATCTTGGCAAAGTCGTGAAGGCCTACAGGCCAGAACCTAGGAAGTGTCCTCTCGCTGACCCCATGTCTTTGCTGCTTCCCTTCCTCTCTCTCAGAGCTGTGTATCTGGTGCGGCACAAAGAGACCCGCCAGCGCTTTGCCATGAAGAAGATCAACAAGCAAAACCTCATTCTGCGCAACCAGATCCAGCAGGCCTTTGTGGAGCGTGACATCCTGACGTTTGCAGAGAACCCTTTTGTGGTCAGCATGTTCTGCTCCTTTGAGACCAAGCGTTATCTCTGCATGGTTATGGAGTATGTTGAAGGTACGCAGGTGATGGAGGAGGAGGAGCTGGCAGCTCTGTGGCACATTATTTTGGGGGAAGCTTTGACCTCTATTGCACCTTTGCTAATAGTATACAAAGAGCAGTTGCATTGGCATTCACTGGACCAGGGGATCGTGACCAGAGAGCTTATAGTGCATAGTTTTATACAGTTAGTGTTGTAATTTAGTAAGGATCATACAGTTTATCAATGATCTAGTAAATGCAATAGTGCACATGTCTGCTACTACATCACATTCAAATTAGCTAACCACACACTTGGCATTTAAAGGATTCCAGATTCAACCCCGGACAGCTCCTGACAGGTTACTTCGATATCAGTTCCAGGTATCTGATGGAAAGCATTCTTAAATATAAACTTATTGAACTTTATATTATATAATTTTTATATAATATCATATTTACTTTTATCTATATTATGTTATGTTATATTAAATTGAGGGAAAGGCCTTGCTGAAAAAGGTACATCATCCTTTAAATTCTCTTTTAGAGTCCTTTGAAACTGTCAGGAAGCAGGTGGATAGTAAGGACACAGTAGTCCTTATTTACTTGGACTTCCAAAGGTATTTTGACTCTCCAGAGGCACCTGAGGCAAACCTCACTGATGTGGGATAAATGAACTCTATATTAAAATAAATAAATAAGTGAATAGCTGGGTAGCTCAGTGAATTTGGCATTTGGCCACAGAACCTGAGACTAGGAGCCAGCCTGTGTAGCCTTGGGCAAGCTGCACAGTCACACAGTAAATCGCTTCTAAGTATTCTATAACTAGAAAACCTTGGAAAGTGTTGCCATGGGTCGGAATTGACTCAGTGGCACATAATAATAATTATTATTATTAAATAATTGAATGCAGAAAAAAAGCAACCAAAATTATCAAGGGACTAGAGCAACTACAATAGCTGATATGAGTCTGCTTAGGTGTTAAATCATCAGGGGAGGCCTTTCTCTCAGTCCCACCACCTTCACAAGTGGGTACACTGGAGAGGGCTTTGTCCGTTGCTGCTCCCAGACTCTGGAACTCCCTCCCACAGGAGGCTAGACTGACCCCATCTTTGCTGTCCTTCCGCAAGCAGGCAAAGACTTTTCTCTTCAGGCAAGCTTTTCCTGAGTGACTGGCTGCCCGAGTGGGATTTTTAAATGGATTATTGTACCTTACTACTTTGAATGTATTTTTAGTATTGCTTTTGTTTACCCATTTCTCAGGGTGGTATTTGTTTGATTTTCTTTTTAGTATTTGTATACTTACTGTTTTTAGCTTTAAATATTGACTTTTAATGATAGAAGCTGCCTTGGGAGAAAACGCGCCTTTAAATTCCTGGGGCGCAGATGTAGAGTGTGTGTGTGTAGGGGGGTTTGCCTTTGTGTTTTCTTTGCCTTCCCCAAGGCAGTGCCTGATCGGCCACTGTGGCAGCATAAAGTTGGTCAAGAGAAGCCTTTGATCTCAGGCAACAGGGCTTTTCTAATGTTCTTAAGATCACAAACTTCAGATAAAAAAACAGGACAGTGTTGTAACCCACTATATGAGTAAAAGAGCACCCTAACCCTCTCTCTACCTTGATGCCTGGCTTCCTTCAGGTGGGGACTGTGCCACCCTGTTGAAGAACATTGGAGCCCTGCCGGTGGAGATGGCCCGCATGTACTTTGCTGAGACAGTCCTTGCCCTGGAGTATCTGCACAACTATGGCATCGTCCACAGGGATCTCAAGCCTGACAAGTATGAAGCTCGAAGCTGGGTGTCCCTTGGGTCAGATTGCCAAGTGGGAGGCTGGGGTGGATTTTTGCCCGTCCTCCTGACCTTTTCACAGCTTCCAGTACCAGGACTTGGAGTAGGAGTGGCTGTAATCTGTTCTCTTCAGATGGTTGTCTCTCTGTTTTTCCCCCCAGCCTACTCATCACTTCCATGGGGCACATCAAGTTGACAGACTTTGGCCTCTCCAAGATGGGGCTCATGAGCCTCACTACCAACCTGTATGAAGGTCATATTGAAAAGGATGCCCGGGAGTTTCTGGACAAGCAGGTGGGATCCGGATTGTAGGGGTTAGAGGGTGCATGAAAAGATGGATTCTGGGAGCTGTAGTCCAAAAAAGGAACTAAGTCAAAACCAAGTTGGAATGTTATATGACGTATGCAGGGTAGAACTATGTACAAAATAATATGATCTAATGGAGTTCTGTCCCTATTCCTTGCAGGATTAAACTATGGGCTATGTGTAATACATAGTGTGCGGCTGAGCCTTACTTTCTTTTTTTGTTACTAAGTTGACAGATCAGAGAACTAATATTTGTCACACACATACCTCCGTGGAAATTTGTAAACCTCCTGGGGAAAAATCTGAAGCCTGTGTTCATCACAGCTGGCATTTATCCCGGTAAAGGGTTAACTCCAGAATGAAACCAAATAATCTTTGATAATCATATTAAAATTTATCTGAGTATCAAAGTTGCACAGTTTTCACTGTTGCAGTAATTCCGGGCACCATCAGCATGTCTAATTTCTACATGCTTTATTTATCTACCATCATTTTTTTTCTATGAAAATTTCTTTGTGACTCTAGAAGTCTGTTAAACTGAAATCTGAAAAATTTGCCATCTTACTGGTAACATTTTTGTTGTGGCTCTTGATTTTTACAAGTCTCCAGAACTCTAGCATTCTATTATTCTAAGCCTGTAGAGGAATAAGACATTATGGTAACAATGGGTTAGGACATTAGACTCTTGTAAACTCAGAATACAGTGGTGCCTCACTTATTAACGATGAAATCACATACCGATGAACTTTTTGCGATCGCATTGCGATGTTCCCTATGGGGAAAAATCGCTTTGCGATGATCGGTACCCTGTTTCGCTTACTGATCATCGCAAAGCGATGATTTTTTAACAGCTGATCAGCAGTTCCAAAATGGCCACCGGGTTAAAAAAATGGCCACTCGCTGTTTTCTGGGACGGATTCCTCGCTTACCAGGCAGCGAAAATGGCTGCCATATGGAGGATTTTCGCTTTAAGGTGAGTTTTAAGCCCATAGGAACGCATTGAAGGGGTTTCAATGTATTCCTATGGGCTTTTTAATATCGCATAGCAACGAAATCGCTTTGCAGCAATTTTTGCTGCACGGATTATCGTCGCTATGTGAGGCACTACTGTATTATTAAGGTCACTGGTAGAGTGTGTTATTGGACTTACAATAGCCAATTTATAATAAACAATTTCATTGAAAGATAAACCATAATTCAGCTCCCCACGGCATGATGACAAACTTCAGTTACTTCAATTCACTTCCATGCTAAAACTGGCAGACCTGAATGAAATTCTTCAAAGCAGCATGACCTTGTTCTCAGAATTAACTGGAAAACTATTAATTCTGCTTTGAAACAATTAATGGATACTATTCTTCCAAGGTGCACTTTTTTAAAAAGAACTTTCACTTTCAGGGCACTTTTCCCCTGCACCCCCTATAATCATTTTAACACTCTTAAATACAGCATTTCAAATGTTGACAAAGTCATATGAAGTGATGGTCATCTGGACCATGGTCTTCCTCCTGCACAAGTAGGTTGAAACCTCCCTTATCCAACCTTTCCCTCTCCATTCTCACCCCCCCACACACAGTGCCCAGGAGGGTGAATAAGAGAGAGAGAGGAGCTTTATCTTTATCTTACCTTTAAGCTACCTTCAGAAGTAGCAAGGCTTGTAGGAGGTGCCACAAGTGCAGGGGAAGGGGAGATAGATCCTGGGTTTGTTAGAAAAGAGTTCCTTCTCTCCCTTGTTTTTTCCTTCCTCTTCAGAAAGGGCTGGGGAAAGGCAGAGAGATTACTGTTTACCTCTCCCCACCCAGTGAACCATTTCCCCCCTTCCAAACAGCAATAGCAACAGGCAGCACATAGTGTCAAATCTCAGTTTACCATCACACCGAATGAGGCCACATTGTCATCTAGAGAGTATACTTCAGTGTCTTCAAACGACACAACCAGGTAAAACATGCCACAAAATGACCCTGCAGCTGGGCCTAAACTCTTGTCTTGTTGACTTAAACTCCACTGTGGACTTGAAATTGGAACTAATTACCACATTAAACATTATATCAGCAGGAAGATCTTTTTTGCATTGCTACCCAATCAGTGTCTTAAAAGAGTAATGTAAGAAAACACAATACAGATTGATATTATACATATGGAGGAGAATTTATAGAGAATTTTCCTTATTTATATTTTTAAAAATCAGACCATCAATATTATTAGAAGTTCTACAATCAAGATGTGGGTGCTTCCAGGGAAAGGGCTCTTAGATCTGCCAGGCATTGCTTAGCTCCTGTAAGCTGGGACGTGGATTTCCCAATTGTTATCCAGACTTTAAGAGATCTACTGTGTCTTTTTTGTGAGTGTCCCATGGTTGCCATATACCCATTCTCCTGCATTGTCCAAAACTCCTGAGTAACCCAAGGTTAAGAACCAGTGAGCTAGGACATGGAATTCCCAATTGTTATCCAGACTTTAAGGGATCTACTGTGTCTTTTTTGTGAATGTCCCATGGTTGCCATATATCCGTTCTCCTTGAAGAAACTGTCACCAATTAATTTAGTATCCTAGTATTCTGTGGGGTGTTTTTAATTTTGTCACTGTTTTTTAAAAATATTAATACAATTGCCTGAGGCTGCAAATCCTGACTTGTTCTGATAATTTCATATACCCTTTTAGAAACTCACCTGCCTGGGTTTTTTCCCCCTAGTCAACTAAGAAGTTGCAAATGTTTTAAACAGACAAGGAATAACACCTTTTTTAAAAAAAGCAAATAACAATGCCAAACAAATTGTAGACACGTCATTTGACCTCCATAAACTCTGTACTCTGTACTGATGCTGTACTTTGAAGCTAATCATAAATCTTAGACACTCTCTTTATTTTCTTGTTACCTCTATAATGAATATATTTCTGTCTTCTCCATAAGGAACCTGCTTTTTCAGAAACAAACTTTTATGTTATGTGGCAAAAAGATGTATCACCTAAACAGTTGCCCTGTGTGCTATAGTTACAGTGGGGATAAATTAATTTCTTTTATTTCTGTTATTTTTCTTTTGTTCTCTGATCAAGCACCATTAAAATGGAACTAAGGAAATTAACCCAAAACAGGCCCAAACCAGAGTTATCCCCAGCTTCCTGTGTTCCTTGAGCCAGGAGACAATCCAACTTCCCTTGTCCCAGCCTTCAATTTCTATATGCTGATCTTAAGGTAGAAATAAAGAGCACTAGTAAAGATAAAATAAATCTTGGAAAAGGCATAGGGCAGCCTTAGGGTCGCCAGTTGAAACTTTATGCTCTTTAAAAAATCAACAACTTAGCTCTTTAAAAAAATCAACAACTTTTTTTGTAACTCACATCATTAGTTGAAGGAAACAAAACAATCGCAAAAGCACAGTAGTGTTTTTATAAACTGCAAACATATATTGTTTGCTCTTTATTTTGGAAGCCTCAGAGCAGTTTACATACATATTGATTAGGTCCAACCCTGTTTAACATCAGCTGTAGTGCAGCATCACATTCTTTCTAGACCATTTAGCCCACTGAAAGGTGGCAAGGATTGTGTGCTAGGTGAGATACCTGAACTCAGTAAAGACAATGCCAGTGCTAGCTGAATTAAGACATATGCCTTTATAGGTGTGCGGGACTCCGGAATACATTGCACCTGAAGTGATCCTCCGTCAAGGCTACGGGAAACCAGTAGACTGGTGGGCCATGGGCATCATCCTCTACGAGTTCTTGGTGGGCTGCGTTCCTTTCTTTGGAGACACCCCTGAGGAGCTCTTTGGTCAAGTCATCACTGGTACGTGGAGGACAAGTGTGGGTGATTATGGTCCACTCAGTTTAGTACTCAATGGCCTTATGATTTGCTCCAGGTTTGCCTAAGGGGATGAGGTGGCTCCTGCTGTCCTGTGGGCAAACGCAAGGGTTGAAAAAGAGGGACTGGACTAGGAGTGAAGAAAGAATTAGATAGAACATCGCAGAGCAGAGAGCAAGGCCTTGGGATGAAGCCAAAGTCTTTGGGCTCAAAAATGTTGGGTTGCTATCCTACCCTTCCCATTGCAACTAAATATTGTACAGGAACTATATTAATGAAACATGGACTGTCATTTTTTTTTCTTGTCAATAAATAGATAGAGTTATTCATCATGTACGTTGCAGTCCTTCTGATTAAAGCTGTAATCATAATTCCTGTGGTGAGCAGACTCTTTCCTGCCGCTCTTCTCCTCGCCCCCACTCGTTCCAGCCATTCTAGTCAAGTTGCCACGGCTCCTCCTTTCTCTGTTGCTTTCAGATGACATCTTGTGGCCAGAAGGGGAGGAGGCTCTCCCAGCAGATGCTCAGCATCTTATCTCCTGCCTCCTGCAGACCAACCCCCTTCTCCGACTGGGGGCAGGTAGGGATCTATGTGGCATAGGTGGTGTTTCAGTGTGGTTTATTTCCATTGTCTCTTTCCGAGTTCTCCAACGGTTATTGTGAAATTTTTGCAATTTGGGAACATGAAACTGTGGACTTGCTGTGGCCTTGACATGACCCTGGTGATGCTCCCTGCGTTGCACAAGCCTTTCCCCGCCATCTCACCCCTCTTTGCCTGAAATCTCTGTCACACATTATTTCCAGGCCAGAGCGCCACCCGCCTGCCCCCGCCCACTGATCTGTAGCAACTTCCAGCCGAGGAGAGCAACACCTTAGCCTTTGTGTTTCTGTAGGTGGTGCCTATGAGGTAAAACAACATGCATTTTTCAAAGATCTGGATTGGAACGGACTACTGAGGCAGAAAGCTGAGTTCATCCCCCACCTGGAATCCGAGGAAGACACCAGCTACTTTGACAGCAAGTGTTAAGTTTTTTATTTCTCTGTCCCAGCTCCAGAGCACTTTGCTTTAACAGACATCGGCAAGCTGAATTGAAGTGATTTGGTTTTGCATCGGCTTGATTCTCAGTTTCTTCTGCAACTGCATTTGATTTAGGTGATTTAGACCCTGGGTTGTTTCAGTGCCAATGTCCACACTGTACAGTGGGGTCTTGACTTAAGAACGGCTTGAGTTAAGAACATTTTGACTTAAGAACCGCTCTCATAGGAAAATATTGACTTGACTTAAGTACTTAGATTTGAGTTAAGAACTGAAAAAAAAACCACGTGGGAGGCAGGGAAAGTGCAAAATTTGAACTTTCAGTTAACTGTTGGCCAGTGAAAAGGGTGCCTGTCTGCTTCCTCACTCCTCCCAGCGTTTAGAGAGTGGATTGGGAGACAGTCTTCAGACTGCCTGGTACTGTACTGCCCGGACTGTATTTTCCCTGACTTCCCTGAACCTTTCTTGACCTAAGGAAAAAAAGAAACAAAATATCCCCCTCTAGTGATCGAAGGCGGAATAGCAGCTTCCCATTAGTTTCTATGGACAGAAAAGAGCAGATACGGATCAAATGGTTTTCAGTGCATTCCTATGGGAAATGCAGATTTGACTTGAGAACTTTTTGACTTGAGAACCGCCTTCCAATACGGATTAAGTTCTCAAGTCAAGACCCCACTGTACTCTCAATCCAGTGTGGCTTGATCCATGCCCACAGCTCCGGATCCTTTGATACTGCCCTCCTGCTGATCCTTGGCTCATCTTTTATGGGCCGTCATCAAGCTGTTGGGTCTGTTTAAGGGCAGTTGTTTCAATTTGCATCCATTTTTATCATTTTATTTTGTATGTGCGGACCTGATCTACCGCTAAATGAATGTAGTAATGCAGTGACAAGGTGATCTAACACTAGACTCAGTAGTTTGCTTTTTTTTTTAAAAAAAGAAATGCTTAGAGGCCATCAGGGAGAAAAATAGAGGAGGTTGATTTGCTTTGACCTTTACACTGTGTGGTCATTGAAAAATAATTCAAATTCACCTATGCCATTTCTGGAATCAAGTATTTTCCAGTCGTAGTCATACACTGAATGAGGCCTGCTCTACTTTCCAGATGCCCATACACCTAAGTTGAATCTATTTACCCTACAAAATGCTATTTCTTTGCTTCCTTGTATACTTAAGGGATATCCCAGTTTTTCCATCAGGGTATGTCCTCCCAGTGCAAACAGTGACTTTAGAAGAGGGCTTTGGCATTATAAAAGGGACGTGGTGGCACTGCGGGCTAAACCGCAGAAGCCTGTGCTGCAGGGTCAGAAGACCAAGCAGTCGTAAGATCGAATCCACGTGACGGAGTGAGCGCCCGTCGCTTGTCCCAGCTCCCACCAACCTAGCGGTTCGAAAGCATGCAAGTGCAAGGAGATCAATAGGGACCACCTTGGTGGGAAGGTAACAGCGTTCCGTGTCTAAGTCGCACTGGCCATGTGACTACGGAAGATTGTCTTCGGACAAAACACTGGCTCTATGGCTTCGAAAAGGGGATGAGCACCGCCCCCTAGAGTCGAACACGACTGGACAAAAAATTGTCAAGGGGAACCTTTACCTTTACCTTTTTGGCATTATAGGAGAGCACATCCTTAGGATCTACAAGGTTCCAGATTATCTAGACAGGGCTGGCAACTAAATTTGTAGTTTAAACCTTGAGGGATATTGCCATTGACTGACGCAGAGGCCCTATCGGGTGCAGAAATGCAGCTACCTCCATGCCCAGTCTCCTTTTTCAGAAAGTTTGGCCAGAATTAGAGAGAACTCCATCAGTCCGAAAGAAGTCACACTTCTCCCACACCTCAGTGACCTCCATGAGCCAGTGTTTCCCTTTCCAGCTCGTTCGGATCGCTACCATCACATTAATTCTTATGATGATGATGACACAACCGAAGATGAACCGGTGGAGATACGGCAGTTTTCATCTTGCTCCCCCAGATTCAGCAAGGTAGGGTCCTCACACTAACTACATTTTGATTTGATTTTTCCCTTTTTATATCTCAGAATGGGTGCAGTGCAATTTTCTAATAAGCGAATGATTGGGCAAGTCCCTATTTGAAATATTTGCCTCAGCCACAAACTGGCAATGTGGCCCTTGATAAGCATTTCAAAATTGGCCTTCCTTGTCTGCAAATAGGAAGATGTTTCTCCTCTACCTTTTGGGGCTGCTGTAAAGATTAATGAAATAACAGGTATGTTTGGATAAATAAATCTTGGTTTAAGAAGCCAAGATAGATGTCCATGAGCTTCAGGTACTCACTCAGCTCCTGTGCAATTCCTTTTGTGCAAATGACAAAACAAGCCAGGATATCACAATGAACCATAGTGTCCTGTTATGTTCAATCCAGAAATTATGGTTCATGATTTCCAAGAGCTCATGATACAGAAGCCAAATCTAAATAATCTTATTTGTTCATTTATTAAATTATTTGCATGTCACCTTTTGGGCCAGGAAAGACCTCCCGAGATGACTTAGTACAGTATTACAAAACTTTGAAGAAATTTAAAAAGATTAAAAACAGAAAAACAAAGTGGCTTCAGCTTTTTTTACTTGTTTCCTTGCTTGTGAGAAGAGAAAAGCAGAGCAACTGTATGTGGGTGCCTAAAGTCCATGCGCATAAGCAAAGCCTGGATATTTGGAACCAGCTACTTTATAGTAAATACGACCAACATTCAGACTGTACTGCAGCTGCTGATATTGCAAAATTATTAGTTCTTCATCTCTGAAAGGTAATTTGCATTCAGAAGCACAGGGCAAGGTGGAAACAGAGTATAAATGTTGCAGGAGATGAGTGCTGAACCAAATGACACCACAGAAGCATGAGACAAAAGCTCTTGTCCATCGGCGCAGGAGTACAAATGGGGAGACACTGTCATCAGCAGCCCAACCCTCTCTGCACATTTATTCACAGGTTAGCAGCCTCCCCGCAGGACTACATATTTGTACTTTCATGCTGGATGAAACAGTATGGGGTGTTGGCTGCTTTCAGGGGACGCTCAGGAGGAAGAAAGAGGACAAAATCACTCCACATTGGCCAGTTCTTTACACACACTCCTTCCTATTTCTTCCCTACTTGGAGATAACCATTATTTTAACTGACTGTGGATAGAAGAGGGAACAAGTGAATGGCAGAACTGCTTTTATTTTGATTGGAGGGAGGGATACTTCATTTAAAACATTTCTATTTGCATTTCATTAAAATAAAATATCCTTTTTGTTTCTCCATTGCAGTGTTTCCTAAGTACATACTAAAGAGGGGCAATCCAAGAAAAATAGTGGACATGAAGTCTAATTAGTCATTCCCAAAAGAAAGTTGCTGCTATCCACATTCCTGCTGCCTCATCACATAAAAATGTCTACAATCTGATGCACATAGCTGAGTCTTAAAAACCAAACCTCCTATAGTCAGCTGGCTCAATCAGTATATCTCACTTCCTTTCCTACACAGTGAATGTGAAAATTGTTAAGAGTGCAATAATAATCATCATCTTACAACTTCAGAGCTAGTATCCTATGAGGACGCTGCAGGGAAAGCTACTGGAACTCGGTGGGTTGGCTGTGAAGCTGGGACTGGGAGTTTGAATCCCTCTCTGCTTTCTGGGAGAGAAGACAGCCAAGATCACCTGGGATGTCATCACCTGAGCATTATGGGGTTATGTGCAGTTCTACCAGTGCAGCTTTGGGCAAGCTGTATGTTCCCAGAGCACCACCAAGAGGGAATGCTAAACCACTTCTGAATACTTTATACCTAGAAAACCTTTGAGGGTCACTCTAATTAAGAAATCAGTTGGTGGAATATACAGTAATTACTAGTTGTGTCTCATGTTAATTCTTTTAAGTGGGGAGTCAGGAGCCATTCTGATTTTCATCTGAGGCACTGCATGTATGTTTGGGTGGCCATGTGGTTTGATAATGTCATTTCTGTCCCTGAGACATGTTTCTGTAGGTAGGGCCTTAATGGCAAATATGTCCCTAATGCATTTTTCATTTGCATGTGTGACCCTCCCTGCTGTGCCCCCACCACCACCACAATCTCCAGGTGTACAGCAGCATGGAGCACCTGTCCCAGCATGAGCAGAAGACGCCCGGAGTCACCAAGCGGGACCAAAGCAACAAGCACAAGGATGAGAAGCTAGGCAAACGCGAAAGCCTTGGCAGTTTCACCCTTCGAGACAAGAGCTGGCGCACCAACTCCCCAGAAATGTGAGCCCCACTCTGGCCCTTACTTACAGTGGCTGTTTCTTCTTCGGGGCTGGAGGAGATTTCCACAAGAGTAGGGGAGGGATAGGCCTTTTCTATCCTCTTCCCATCTCCAAGAGAGAACATTGAGAGAGGGGACCTTCGGAATCTCCAGACTTCCAGCCCCACCCTCTCTGCCTATCCAATGTTCCGATTTTTGCTGCTGTTAACCAGCAGTGGGTAAAAGGAAGTCTCTAGACCAGGGTTCTTTCAAAGAGGGCCTACTTTTTTGAACTACAGCTCCCAGAATCCTCCAGCCAGAATGACGGACAGCTGAGGAATTCTGGGAGCTGTAGTCCTAAAACAAATTAAACGGTCTAAGCCCTGGGTTTGTTTGGCTTTTTTAATATATCCTAAAGACTTAGAAAAGAAAACTGGAGCTGTGAATTATTAGGGTGACTAGATGAACAATAATACTGGAAATTTCAACAAGCACAGATTGTATTAAAACTGTACTGAAATCTCCTCTTCTCAGCAATTATTAAAGGTACAGTAATCCTATCCCCTTTTAAATTTGATCACCTTATCAGTGATGAACCTGGGATATTTAGTAAGTTCATCATCTGTCTAAGCAACACAATTGGTTAATTCAGCTATTAAATTAAACTGTATTTTCATACTATTCACCTACTAAATTAAACTGTATTTTCTTAGTAAAGCATTATTTTCATATTGTGTAATCACACTGCCTCAGAGGATTCTACAAGGGGATCCATCAATTTTATTTTCTGTGTGTAACCATTTCATGTTTTCATACAATTTCTGCTGTCTTTTTTCCTTACCAAAGAAAATCTGTTAAGGAGGGAAAGATGGAATAGCTGCACAATGATTTTTTTAAAAAAAAATGAATAGTGAAAAAAGTAGGAGATAACTTAAAGTTTAATAAATGAATGTTACCTTTTCTTCAAAGGATGGAATATCTGTCTTCATTCCCTAGCACAGTAACATGCTAGGCACAAAACAACCCCAAATAAACACTAGCAGGATCTTAGGTTTCAACCTCAGTGATTAAAATTTGCCATGACTTATTAAAACTATATATATCAATGAACTAAAGGATTCTTTTATATATATAGCTAATTTCTGGGTGATGGGTCCGGCCCCAGATATTTGGGGCTCAGCCAGCGTGCTTGTTTCTGTCTTGTAGGAAGCGTCTCTCAGCCTCAGAGTCATCGTACACTGAGAGTGATTCAAGCCCCCCATTGGGAGCGCGCCGGCGCTTTTCAGCCCTGATGGACACCAACCGCTTTGCTGTGCCACTGGAAAGTGAGAATGAGAACCTCAGCAAGGGAACCAAAGCTCCTGCAGAGAATGGGCCAGTGGGAGCTGCCCCACCAGCTGAAATCAAGGAAGGCAAGGAAGGAGCAGCAGCAGGGGATGCTGGAGCATGCCCTGCCCCTGCGGAGACCGAGGCAGGTGAGTTTTGGATGAAGGTGAGCCCAGGTGGTCTCTTCCAAGAAGCCCTTGCTCTGGTAGGTTAAGGAAAGAAGCCACTCTTGGAAGCCTCGTCCGCTTGTTAGGGTCTTGGCACATCACCTCCGCATCTGTTTTCCAGGACAAAATGTATTCTCCCTCCCGTCCTCTAATGAATAGATGTCAGATGGCCTGATGTGTTGTGGAGGAGGCAGTAGCTCGCCCCATTCAACCACTGAATAGTTCCAGACACTCTGGTTCAGTTTCCGTGTAAACCACAAATGGATATTTGGGGTTTGAGAAGCTCTGCAGTAGATGTTGCGCAATCAGCGGGAAACTCCATTTATGTCTACAGGTCCTTCTTTTCACAGGGGAGACACACTTCTGTTCTCCCAGTACCATGTCTTTTACAGGGGTTGCAGTTTCCCAAATGAAGTTGCCGTGTTTTGTTCCTGAGAAATTTTAGACTCTCTCCCACCTTCCATTACCCTTTTTGCACATTTATTGCATTAAGGAGAGCAACAAGGCAATGTGTCTGATTGACTGTATTTGACACAAAACTCGGGGGAAATTATTCTGATACCTTATGCAGGAATGACACCGCTGCCACCCCCACTTGCCTCCTCTGCCAGCGTTTTCTCTGTTGGACAACTTTTGATCATATCTGTGGGGTTTGGATTTAAAACATTTCATTTTGGATTGTGACTCATGGATTAGACGTGTGTGTGTGTGTGTGTGTGCCTTACTTTGCTCCCTTGACTAGCACTTGAAAATCATCTGCTTTCTCAAAACTGCTGCTTCATTTGATTAATGGTTGAGGTGGTTCTGACTGCATAATGCCGCCAACAAAGCGGCAATGAGTGACACAACTGTCTCTGCTGAGGTTTCCCTCCACTTTCTTTATTTACATTTTTTTCCACTTGTTTATGTGCAAGAGCTTGTGTGCTGCCTCCATTGTGCCACCAAAAAGAGGCAACACGCATGCATTTCCTTTCCAAAGAACCAAACAGACAATGGTGACTGTCTCTTTCCTACACGAATGCCCCAACATTTCAGTAAGCTTTTTTTTAAAAGTTAAGTTTTTCTTTCCTTTCCTTTCTTTTTCCTTTTCCTTTCCATTCACCTTCCTTTTCTTTTTCTTCTTCTTTTTTTGGTACACAGTTGATAAACTTATTGTAATGCAATTTTGGAAAGTTTGTGCACTTCACCAGTCTAAAGCAAGAGTGTAGACACCCCCATTTTCTCAACGCAAGAGCATTCTCTTCATCCTGTGCATTATGTAGGATTCTGATTTCATACAACTGGCACTAGTAGCTGTAATCTTCTAATGATGGTGCTGTGCTAACACACTTTGATGGTGGTGGGGAGCACTTTGGTGTGAAGACCAGACAGTGATTAACAAGCACACCTACACCTGCCAATCTGAGCTACTTGCAGCCTGCTAACAGCAAGCCTATGTTTGTATGTTGGACCTGCCATTCAGTTGCAGCTGGGCAGTTGGCCTGGTTCTCCCCCCCCCCCCCCCCCCACAAACCACTTTTTTACTCTC